TGATTTCACTAAGATGCTGATCAGGGAAGCTAATTGGTGGAAGGTAGCGGGAGTCAGGGCAAGACAAAGTTCACGAGGATCTCAGGAGATCTTCCGTGGAAACCTTATGGAGCAGCTTCTTAAAACTTCCCCATCCGCACGCGGCTGGCCTGGATGTTGCAGCCTGGCACTAAAATGACATGACGGCACTAGGGTGCTCTGCTAGGATAGTATGGCCAGAATCACAACGATGTAATTGCTCCATTTGGGGATCTGGTGCCGAAGAAACCTATCTTCAAATGACAGAACTCTGTCCATTCTGAGGTCCTTGACGTAACACAAGCTGTAAGTCACAGAACCGGCCTTCTCAGCATCCGAAGCTCGCCTTCCGCAAGCAGCTGTGTGATTGTATGAAGGACTCGAACATCGAACAGCGATTGTGTGCGACAGCCATGCTTAGCATCACATTTAACTATACGTATGTAAAGGTATGTATAACTGTATCTGTATCTAGATCTATACCAAAAATCTATATCAGATCTATACCTAAATCTGCATCAAACACATACCTATATTATATGATATGGGGGTTGTGATGCTCTTGAAGCTTCTTCAGGCATAGCCCACTTACAGCAAAACTTCGTGCAGCACATGGATTTGCCAACTGCTGCCACGACCTGCGCCGTAGAGTCTAAACCTTGGTCCAGCCTATTCGCTGGTAACCTATCAGGAAGATGCACCTAAAGCCCGTCTTGATGCCGTATCCGAAACCACACCGGCCTGCGCTGCAGCCAGCCGGACGCCTGAAAGACTCCCAAAGGCTTTTGGCGCTCGACAAGTGCAGACCACCAGAAAACTTCTCCAAGAGAGAGGCCGGTTCAATCTTTCCTCGAAACACCACAATACCAACGTCGACGTCACCAGCCAACAATTTCAGCAGCAACAAGATACAGAAGAGCATTAACAGCACTTGAGTGGCAAGAATAGATCGATTCTTGTATTGCTCTGCGACCGTCACCAGCGTTGTTTCTAAACTCAACACTCTTCTCAAGCTTCTGATTCTGGTGAGCCTTGCCTCAGCTGCAGCGGCCATGGCTCCGTCCGCACCATGTCAGCATTTCAGCAGCTGTTCTCTAAAGAGCATCCTGTCTGAGTGCTCACGGACCTTGATGCCTTACGTACGGAGTCGCAGCTTGGGCTATTGAAGCTATTGCAAACGAGCCACCAAGCCCAATCTGCTCCCAGCA